TTAGGATCCTCTGACAAAATTGTAGCTGAATTAATTTCTCTCTCTCTCTCATGTAGTGTGTGGGTGATGATGAACAAGCGGACCAGGCGATTATCAAAGATGCCAGACGACGTGAGAGCAGAAATAGGGCCCTATTTCATTGAGCGTTCTGCCGTCATGGAAGAGGATGGTAGGAAGCTGCCGAAGCTCGATGATGGCACTGCTCATCACGTGCGCACAGGCTTAACTGTAAGTATCGCGATTTCAGCTGTTAATTTTTATGCAAATTAAAGAGAAAAAACTTACCCAATTTCTATCTAGAAATTATACACTATGATTTTTGAGATACCATGAACTTCAAGTTGGGCATTGCAATATTTCAAGTTTAACTTTCTGAGAAAGTTGAAGCCCCTGATAGACTCTGGCCGAAGTACTCTCTCTCTCTCACACACACATTCTTAATCGATGAATTTGTGAAATGTCCAATCGACAGTGGCAGTTGTCTGTTCAATGACAACCTAAAATCTCAAGCAGCCTTCTCTCTCTCTCTCTCTAGACATTTAATTATGTGGCTGAGGTTTCTTATTTTGTGCAGCCAAGGTGGAGTGATTTGGACGTGAACCAACATGTCAACAATGTTAAATACATAGGCTGGATCCTCGAGGTACACTGCACTTCCCACAATTATTGATTCTCGCATCTCTCTGTTTTCTATTTCCAAACCAAGTTTTATTTTCCAGATTTTACTGAGATATTGGAAAATTTGAGAAGAAGAGTACTAGTTCTTAAAAAGTAATTTGTATGATGGTGAAAAGTGGAAACTCGCTCGCGGTGCTTTTTTGAATTATGCTCTTACTTTGACCATGCCACTCTTGCCATGGAGTGATAGAGAATCCACCATCAATTGCTTGCTATGTAGTGTTGTTTATTAGTGCTTGTGATGGAGAGTGAGAGAGCAAATGTGATTTAGAGGAGAGAGTAAATGTAATGGAGAGAGAAGGAGATTCCGTGAGAAAAAACTTGCTAGCTGCCATAGAATGTAAGTGGGGTTTAGGCATATATGTGTGGCCAGGTGTGTGGTGCGTGCACCTCATACACGGCGTGAGGGAGAAGGTCAGGAATGGAAGTACCTTTATACGTACCGAGAGAGAGAGAGAGAGAGCATCTTTAAACAGAACTGAGCGAGATGAGAGATGCTGCTACCTCTCGTTGCTTGTCCAACAGAGGGACACTCTTGGTGTTGGCATTTGTATGTGTGTGAATTGGACAGACTCCTAGAGAGCTGAGTGCGAAATATTTTTTTTCTGGATTATTTTTCAGAGTGCACCAGTCTCCATTCTCGAGAGCCATGAGCTAGCAGGCTTGACACTGGAGTATAGGCGCGAATGTGGAAAGGATGATGTGCTTCAGTCCCTCACATCTGTCACCGACCAAGGGGAGGACGAAGGCGGTGGCATGGAATGCGAGCACCTTCTTCGCCTTGAGACGGGGCCCGAGATTGTGAAGGGAAGGACCGCCTGGCGCCCTAAGCAATCAGCCTCAAAGTCCTCCTAGAGAGGAAGTGAAGACAGAAGAGAGAAACTGCTAGAGAGAAGCATGAAGATGGCGAGGAGCAATCCTAATTCGAGGTTTGCAATGCAATCCTCGAATTTTTTACATCATAGATGCCCTTGATGTTTGCTATTTTTTTATTCTGTTCCTGTAATCTGTCTTCTACATTTTTTTTTTTCTCGAGTATAATACTTTTCTTTTTGGGTTTTTGGTTTTTATTTTAGTAGAAGTGGAGTTTCCAAATGTAATTAGTGCTTTACGTAAGTACATATTTGGGGTGTCATATGGTGTTTGATGGCGGGTGGACAAGGGTAGTTAAGTTTATGTCATATTTCTGCTTGGAAATGAGAAGGGAAGTTTGAATTGGTGGCATTTCTTATTCATTTTGTAAATAACAAAGAAGTTCCCAGTTCTGTGCCTGATTGCATTTGGATTGTGTGATTATTATTGTTGCATGTAGGGTAAGTTTTCTATGCTTCCCCTATAAGTTTTCTATGCTTCTATAAAATTTATATACTTCCCCTGTCTAATTGTCTATTATGAATGGATGGCTATTCATTGTGTAAATAACAAAGAAGTTCCGAATTCTGTGCCTGATTGCAGTTGGATTGTGTGATTATTATTGTTGCATGTAGGGTAAGTTTTCTATGCTTCTATAAAATTGATATACTTCCCCTGTCCAGTTGTCTATTATGAATGGATGGCTGATGGCTGAGATGGTTTCAATTACATTCACGTTTTTTAACTATTTTATTTTTAATTTTTTAAAATTATTTTGACACAAAAAATAATTTCAATAATAAAAGATGGCTAAAATACTTTGGAAGTTATAGGGGTGTTTTGGTCATTGTATATTATTGAAAATATTTTTTAACTATTTTTTAGGTGTACCCCAATGAGATGATGGCATTTACCTAATTTTATATATTCATATAATATGTAGAAGAAAAATTTAAGTAGTAGTGGTTTACTAGATTTAAATTGGATGGCTGGATGGGGAGGAGGGGGAATATAAAAGAGAGGTGGGGGTATATAAAAGAGGGGGAGTATCTAGATGAAACCGTTAGTGGTTTACTAGATTTAAATTTGACGGCTGGATGGGGGGAGGGAGTATATAAAAGAGACTGAGGGAGTATATGTATTCGGTGCGGTTTGTATAGAGCTTAGGTTTTAAACAATCAAATTAAAGCCTACCACCTTTAAATAGTGTCGAGAAATGTGGTTTCAATATAGGAAATCTTTGTGATGACCGTAAAATATATTTTCATATTTATTTATAAAGTTTAAAGCTTCAAAAATAACGTAGCTCGGTAGATTTATGAAAACTTAAAAATATTGAAAATTGACGGTAAAAAAATGTGTTACAAAATACATTATTTTTAAAATTTGAAATCTATTTTTTTTTCATGTTTACGCATCTTGATATCGAGATGATCAATTTAAAGATATTTGGGCATCAAAACATCTTCTAGTGAAACTTTTGAGGTAGGTTCAAATTTGATTATTTAGAGCCTCGGCTCCATATAAACTTCTCCCATAAACTTTTCACATATATCTTTTAAGTAGTAGGGGAAGTATATAAGGGAAATGTTTCTAGGAGACCCAACAATAAACAAGTTTTATGGTTATGGTTGTTTATATCCCAATGTCTGGCTACGGTTGTTCATATCCCAATGTCACCAAACATGGTTTTATTTTTCATTTTTTTACAAAATATTTTTGTATGAAATTTTGGGCATTCCGTCATAAAATTAGGGCAAACTTAAGAAAATATAATAAAATATATTTTTATAAAAATAAATAACCAAAATGCCCTTACAATTTATTGGGGTATTTTGATAATTTTTCATCACAAAAAATATTTTATTATCATTTATATCACGTGCACCCTTGTTAGATCTATGCATGTTTAATTTTGCTTTAAAATGATATATAGAATAAAAATAAAAAATAAAAAACTCTAAGCTGTTCGATCAAGATCTTACGATTAAAAGCTAATTTGTGACATTGTGGCTAAAGCCATTTTAGCCGTCTACTCAGATGAACTAGGGATCATATATATATATATATATATATTTTTTTTTTCCCCTGTAAAAATTCACGAGTTAAAAAATCGGGAAGATAGTTAGTATTTCATTTAATATGTTCTATGTCAAAGTCAAAGGAAGATAGTATACTTTGCCACCGTGCAAAAATCTGTATAGAGACAAGATTTTTGACATCTTTATTGAGAATATCTTTTGCGGCTTTGCAATCAGTTCGTATCAGAAATTTCTAGTTGAACAAATCACTTTGGAATTTTGTTATACAATGAATAATTGCCAAAATTTCCTTTTTGACGGTAGAGTATTTTTGCTGTGTTTGATTCCAAGCTCGAGAGGTAAAACAAACCAACGGTTAATCCTAATCCTATTTCTGAGGCATCACACTCAATGATTTTGAAAGCCATAGGATTTGAGAGGGTAAGACGAGGTAATTCTTTGGCTTTTATCTTTATTTTCTTAATAGTCAGAGTGTTCATTTGTCCATTTTGGGGGATTCTTTTTCAACTTTTGAAACAATGGTTTTGCATAAATAGCAAGGTCTTTATAAAATTTAATAATATAATTCAAGTATCCCAAAAATCTTTGAAGTTCTGTTTTGTCTAAAATAATATCTGATAATTTATTAGAAAATTCAATTGCCCTATCTTGGGATTATACTTCCTTGAAAGATGTTGTGACCGAGAAATCGTATTCTTGTTTGACAAAGGCTAATTTTTCTAGCAGAGACTACCGGTCCTGCAGCTTTTATTTCCTTGATAAAAATAGTTATATGTTTAAAATGTTGTTCGATACTTTATGAGAGTATTAAGACATCATCAATATAAACTATCATAAATTTTATATATGGGTTGAAAATATTTTTCATAATATTTTGAAATTCTGAAGGAGCATTTTTGAGCCCAAAGGGCATTACGTTCAACTCATATTGTCCAAAAGGGACATTGAAAGCAGTTTTGTATTTATCCTTTTCATCAATCTGGATCTGCCAGTATCCAGATTTCAAGTCGAACTTTGAAAAGATACAAGCATTGACAAATCTATCAAGTAAATCTTTTTTATTTGGAATAAGATATCTTACCAATCGTAAGACTTTATTTAAGGGTTTATAGTTTATTACCAGGCGAAACACTTTCTTTTTCATAAGCTTTCTTCATATAAAATGCTGCACAGCTCCATGGGGAGGAACTTTTCCTGATAAGCTTCTTCTGCATTAAGTCATCAATTTCTTTTTTGCAAATCTCTAATATCCGAGGGTTCATCTGTATTGGCCTAGCTTTAGTAGGTATATCTTTCTCATGAAAGTCTGCCTCATAAGGTAGTTTTACAATATGTTTTTTTTTTGTCCCAAAAGGCATTCGGTAATTCATCGCAGATTTCCTTTTCCATTTTATTCTTAATATTTTCTATTATGCTTTTATTATCTGAAGATAAGAGCTTCTCTTCTATTGTTTTATATTTTATCTCTTCTTTAAGATGATATAAGAATCTTTCTTTATTAGAGATTATTTCTTTGATATTATTTACCTCTCTAATTTTTGGTTTTCCGATGAATTCGAATTTTACGCTATGACCTTCTATATTAGCTTTTGTCCCAGAACTATCTATTTGTATTGGATATAACATATTTAGGAATGGAGTTCCTAATATTACAGACTGGCTTAGTCCTTTAACCATGATAAAAAGAAATTCAAAACAATACATTATTGCAGACTGCAGTATTTGAAAGTTTATAATTTATAATAAGTCTACTACCATTTGCTGTATTTAGAATTTGTGTTGTTTTACTAAAATATTTAGTAGGAACGAGCAGTTCATTTATACAGTTTAAATCAGCTCTTGAATCTATTAATGTTAGAGTTTGAAAACTGTATTATTTATGGACTATTATTTTTACTAAAGTCAACCATTTTTTAGTAACTACTTTATCGAGTAGGTTTACATAATTGCCTGTTTGTATTGTGCTAGAGGATTCTGGTTCTTCATTTATAATGGGTAAAGGCTTTTTATATTTATTTATAATATTATGAAATTCTAATTCCTCATTAGTATTAACAGGACTTTCTTCTTGGGGATTTGTGGCCAATTCTAAAATCTGTACTCTATTTTTTAGATTTATTAACTCATTTCTTACATCATTAATTTCTTGTTTTAATTCACATATAGATGGTTCCTTTTGGATATTATTTTTTCTCTTAACTCTTCTAAGAATTTTTGCAAAATTATAGTCTTCTTGGGTTCGGACAAGAGGAGAGGTTTTCTTATTTGTTTTGGCCATCTGTACATAATGTATTAGAGCATCTTTTTTAGCCCCAGGGTCTGTTATTTTATCTATAATATCAATAATTAGATTTTCTTCTTTTGAGAGCGTATTACAGAAGCACTTTTCTTCATTTGAATCTGAATTACTAAGGATTAAATCTTCATTTTCTATTTCTCCTGCTAATTGTTCTGTCTCAGAACTATATGAACTATCAGAAAATTCTTCTTCTATTTGTAAAATATGAAATAGTTGGCTTCTAATATTTTCATCTAGTTGTAAGGAATTTATTTTCTTTTTTATCCTACATTTATTTTTATAATGTCCTACTTTACCACAATTATAACAAACAGGTAATTTTTTTTTTCTCCTAGATTTCTTAAATTTATTATTGGGGGAAAATTTCTTAGAAAATTTTTCTTGGACAGTAGATCTATTGGTACCTTGTTTATATTTTTTATTCTTATGATATCTTTTTTTATCGACATCCTTGGTCATAGGCAAAGTATTGTATCCAAACTGTTCGCAGAAATCTCCTAATTCTTTTCTGCCTGTCATTTTTTGCTTATCCAATTGTCATTTTTTTTAAATCTGTACAAAGAGCTAAGCGTTTCGCACATATATCTGCCAAAAGTTCCCCTAGCGTATATAAAGAGTATGAGATTATTCCTCCATGCTTATTTTTCAATCGTGTTTTGACCTTTTCAGTAAACAAATGGGGTAAACCGACAATGAACTTTTCTTTTCCAATGGTCCGATTTACTGTCTTCTCTGGAGAGGAGCCTAGAGAAGAAAATATCCTCATACCATTTATAATGTGATAATGTTGGGCATCGGAGGTTTGAAAGAAGATCTTCAGATATAGCGTCCAGTAACGCAGTACTTCCTACGAAGTGGACAGTGATTGTATATATTAAAGTGTTAACTGCATCACTTTCAATATTAACTATGTCTTGGCCATATTCATTCTTGACCACCCACTGTTTTGTAGCGGTCAATATTCTTGTTTTATATTTTCTTCCATATGGAAGTCCCACCATCCTCTTAACCAGCCCGTAAATCCACAAATGATGGCTTTTGCTATTTCTTGATCGTGGTTTCCACTTATTTTGCACGC